GCTGAAAATGTATCAACATTCAACAGAATGCTAAATACACTTGTGTTGGTGAATGCCACTGAAAGAACTATTTTAGAAAGTTGCAGATGGCTATTTCAGGGTGGAGATGGACAGGATACAGTGGAAATAACATTTAAAAAATAATAAAATCTTGATACTTCATCTTTCTAACTTTCAAGTTACCCTGGATTTTTCAAAGAGGGCTTCAGAAGGAGAGAGAAAACTGGGAGGGACAGGAGAATGCCCCCTCAAGAATTAAATCCCAATTAACACACCGTCAGTGACGAAGGATACATTTTACATGGTCGATTAAAAGACTCCTCCCTATTGATCTTTGCAGCTAATCATTGTCCTATCCCTGCTTAGGGAGTGCAGACACAAACCAGCGATCTAAATTTATTGAGACTCCTGACAATCAATAGGTCAGACCCACGGAGAGCATTACACAGAAAGCGTCTCCATTGACTCATGACGGGCCAGCAAGACCCAGGTCTCCAAGAGGTCCCTAAAGCCGTTCCCCTCTTTGCTCCGATGGTTCATGCAAGGCCAGGGCTGCTCTGTGTATGCTCCTTGTCAAAGCCCAGACAAACAACCTGTGACAAAACAGCAGCCGCAGTGATCCCTCTCGCCTTCGTCTCGGCATCATGGCAGGAGAGCTGGATACCTGGAGGCAGCAGACAGCCTGCCACATGAGGCCTGCAGTTTTGATTTAAACAAAACAAAAGTGAGTAGCTGTAATTTCACAGATGGGAGCAATTCATTAGCTGGGAAAAGATGTGGTCGCTCTAATCTGCAGTGACTAGGGAGCTTTTGATGCAAATAGCCATTTGCAGCTGCCTCTCACTGGGTCAGTGTTAGGGAATAGACTGTGAGATGAAGAAAATAAAACTGTATACTAATTGAGAGCCTGCAACAGAACAACAGAATTGCAGGCAATATTTCTGGGCCTGCCATGTGCCCAGGTGATCTGCCACTTTGGGATTTTATAGTACGTGATAACAAGGGGATCACACACTCCATTAAATCACTCAGATGACTGGTATTCATGTGACTGCAACTGAAGGGTCAGAACAAAAATCCCTGCAAGTCATAGAGGTGAGCACCAGGACTGCCAGCACCAGGACAGCAGATGGGGGAAAACAAGGTTAAAAGGAAAAAAAAACAAAAAAAAACAAAAAAAAAAACCTTGTCACATTTTAATCAACTACATTTGAGCTGGAGTGCCTTACACAAGGCTGATGGCACAAATCAGCCTTTCCTTGTTCTCTAGTTACACTATAACAAAACATGTTCTCTGTAGCACTGGTCAGTCCAAAGGAAGAGGAGTATTTTTGTTCTGGAAGGACTTTTACTGCTTGGCAAATGTCAGGAAAAGTGAGGAAATGTGGGGAAGCAGGAAGCAGCTATAGAGGAGACCTACTTGCAGCAAAGCCTGATATCAAGAATGATGGTACTGCGAGTGGAAGGAAGCACATGCTGATTTCTGTGCATTGTGGTGTGGATGGCTTTGGCATGGGTTAAGGCTTCAAAAGAGAAGGCTCATCCTGGGATCCACAGGAGCCTGGGATTTCAACACATGGACATCACAAGGAACATTTCTACCTTTGACATAAAGCAAGCGTGGCTCTAGTAACCTTCTGGGAAAAGCAGACTCTGATCCTCTTCAGCTAATTTAGCTGAGTCAGGTCAACACTCAGGTCATAGCAGGATAGGTCCCAAAAGAAAACCACTGAGGTCTCTTGCTGACTGCAGCAATATTTGCAGAGAGTACTCATTAAAGGGACACAAATAATTCAGCAATACACTTGTATGGTCAAGGTGAGAGAGGAGAGAGAGGAGGGATGGAAGTGGCAGGTGGTGACCTAGGCACTGTGGTGCTCTCTACTTTCCTGCAATTATAAACACCACCTGCTATCAGGGTTTCTACAAGAATAAAACATTGCTCCAGCACAGGCCCTTTAGGAGGTATGCATGCAAATTGTCAATAAAACTATCTTAACTATTAATGTTAACTATCTTAACATTCTTCCTTCAGGTGCAGTGGAATAAATCAAGGAGAAATGGATATCTGTTTCCTCAGTAATCTCCAAGATCAAGTGATAAGGGATGTGGGGAACATGGCAGTCTGGTAAGAAAATGCATAGTGGAAGATTTAAAGAGAGAGAAAGAATGACTCCAAGCAAGTTACATATTGTTTCCTTTCTTACCCAGCAGGCAAAGGCATCACCACTATTGTTACATAATACCTTCCTAAGCCCTCCAGAGGTGAAGTGGCATCCAGCAAAAAACATTTCTAGGAACAAACATACAGGCAGAAAAGGGGTAAAAACTGGAGAATGGGCAGAGTTATTTTAATTTAGATTACTGGATGATGCACCAAAACTGCCCGGAGGACAAGTCCTTTGAGAAAATGGCAAATATTTATATTACATGACATTAATTACACTTTTACTGCGAGCTAACCCTATTACAGTATTGTGTATGGACATAGAAGACAGTACTTCTGTAGTGTCCCTCCTAATAAAGAGCTGTCCTTGCAGAGGCCCAGCGATGGGGTTTATTGTGCTCTGTGTCACTGCCCATAAAGGCTGCTTAATGCACTTCCTTGCAAGTAGATTTCTTTACGACTTTACCAGATTAGAGGAATGGGGGGGAGCGGGATTTTCACTAACTTATTCTTTAGTATGAGGTCCTTTAACATGAGCTCCAAATAAGATGTGAAATCCTTGTTCCAGACATCCCAGCTAGACCTCCTGCGCAGGACTGGAAAAGTACTGCCAACACCAATGGGGCAGGGTGTCATGACTACTCAGATGATTTGTGCTGATTTATCCTCCAGCATAACACCTTGGAGCACAAATCTGAGCATAGCTGTGGGGCATAACCCTCAGCCTGCATTCAGAAAAGTGACAGAAGTTCTTCACTGTGATGGATTCCTCAGAGACAGGTAATATCTTCCATGGGCTCAGGTAGCAACAGACAACAGCAGAGATTCAGAGCCGGAGCAACATTGCTGGAGTGTTGTCGGAAGAATAAAATGTCGGACAAACAGAAAGAAAAAAATTCAAAGGAAGATGAGAGGGCAAGAAAAATATGATTAGTAAGGCTCAGGTAAAACAACAAGAAAGAATTTAGTCCAACTGCTATCATATAAAGGCTTCACACCATGGACAAGAACCTCATAGCAATAAACCCCTCCTTCCCTCAGGACAGCAGGGCTTGGCCAACACAAATTAAATTGCATCATATTTCCCCTCTCCAAACAAAATATCTTACAAACACCCTAAGCTCTACTGTATCTGAGGAAAAAGGTGTGATAGAGATACCAAGCAAGTGCTCAATAGCAAGATGCAAACAAACCAGAAGGAGACAGAGAAGCTACATCAAAGCAAGTGTTTTGGCAGAGACATCAAGGTGCCCAAAAGTTACTTTGGCGTTGGGTGATTGCAAATCTCTTCCTCACCAAAAGCTGAGGGAGCCTCTTATAGGCTGGAGATCAATTAACCCATGGAGGTTCTGGGCATAAGGAAGAGTGTGTGAGCTGCTTCAGGAAAGAAAGAGCAAGCCAAAGATTTAGGCTGGTCCACAACAAGGATGAGGTATCTTGAAAATCTGTCTGAGCCTCTTTTCAAATCATCTGAAATGGGCTTTCCTGAGAGAACAGGGGTTTGTGCAAGCAAACCACCACAGCCTGCCTTTGGCAGGACATGAAAGGCACTGGTACAAACAATGATGGGATGGATGAAAGAAAGAAAACCAGCCACTTGGTACTAGAAAAATATTGAATCTTGTGGATCCAGCTGGGCTAAGCTGGGGACTATCTGCATACTGCAGGAGGAACCCTTGCTGGAAGTTTCTGCAACCCCTACACTACCAGTTGAACTTCATCAGGGACTTCTCTAATCCTATGATTCCTGCACTCATTTTGCTGAAATTGAATGAATGCTGGCACAAAATATTGGGTCAGTGTCTGCCAATTAGCTGAGAGTGACAGCCAGTATTGGGGACATAAACTGTCCTGTAGGTTTAGCTAGATTTGAGAACAAGTCTTTCCATAGGCTCATACTGCAATTATCTGGCAAGAACACTGCATTAATAGTGGATTTTTCCTCCTGTAGGACAGACATGCCATGCTGGTTGCTCAGCAGCACAGCAAACTCATGCTCTGGCAAACTCCTCCAAAAATAACTTCCTGCTTTCTAGAGGTGCTTTCTGCACTTGCATGCCCAGTTGCTGAGTAGTAATCAGTGCAAGCATACGTACTAGAGGAATTCAACCCGTGTACAGTAGTCAACTTCAAATGTGGATGTTGGATGAATGCTTTGCAGGTATGTAATGGGTTTCAAGGCCAAAATGAGACCTGGCCACTGACAGATAGCTACAAAATTCCCTGGTTTTTACATGTAGAAGAAAAAAAATACACCAGAAGGAGCAGTGAAAGTGAAAACATGGTGAACATGAAAGTGAACATGAAAGTGAAAACACTGGTGAAGCATCAGTGTGAAGAGTGGTGGAGTGTTCTTTCACTCTAGTAATTTTTTTTATAATTCAGTGCATTCAATTACATTAAAAAAAAAAAAAAGGGGGGGGAAAAAGGTGCCAAACCCAATTAATTCACTTTGGAAGCTGTTTTTTCTTTTTCAAAATCAAAACCAGTAAAATGTAGTGTAAGGAATGCCAGAGGCCTAGGAACGAGGAATGTACGAATTAGACATGCTGCTCTGAATCAGTCATTTTCTATAACAACAATGTCTCAAAGGTGGTCAGAGAAAGGAAATGAGGAAAAAATAGGTAGATAAAGATGTAGGGTAGTTTTATATCCTGTAACTGTCAATACTACACTGAGGCAGAAAGATGGCTGGAAAAAAAAAAAAAAAAAAAAAAAAAAAAAAAAGCCACCAAAACAAAACAAAAAAAAAAAAAACACCAAAACAAAACAAAAAAAACAACAGCAAGAAACCCCACCCAGAAAATAATAAAAAAACCCTTGATACCTGTTTATTTCGTGTATGAAGCACCTCTTAGCACAGAATGCCACATAGCAGTGTGTGCAAATCTCTGTGACTGTTTCATCCACATTTAAAAACTTCTGAAATCCTTTTGGGACCAAGCTGCCATGGTGGAAAACAAAGTACTTCCTACAGCGGAAAAATAATGATACAGAAAAGACCCAATTATGTTACGAAATTCTTTGAAATTTATGTTGTATTCTTACCCTTAATACCACAAAGTAACTGTCAAAAAGAATAGCTAAATAGTAATTTTTTTGGTTAATCCATGGTATTTTTCTTCTGAGCGAGTTTGCCAAAAATAAGGTACTTAAGCAGCAGGGCCCCAGATCTATTTGGCCCCCAAAGAACAGTCATTTTCCACACCATCTCCTGGGCATCTCTGAAAATTCTACCAATTTGGCTCAACATTTTAGCTGTGATATCCAGCTTAAAAGAAAGCATCCATAGAGCAAACACCATCTGTTTTGTTATGAATGCCTGTCTCATAGTCTGATTCCTGGGTACCTTATTTTGTGCCCGGACAAGGCTTTTCCAGGGCTGGGACCTTCATATCACCTCTCTATAGACAGGGCTGCTCATCTTCTCCGAAGGAGATCGCTGATGATGTCTCTCCTCTTTGGGATTGCCTGTTTTCATCAAATTTTCAGGAACAACCTACCTCTGAGATCTAGCTTTTTCTAGCTGGGTAGCCACCCAATCTGCCAAGTCCTGGAGTTACTGTGAGTGTGAGAAGGAGCAGATGTCCATCCTCCCTTCCTCCATCTTTCCATCCTCAATTCCTAAAGAAATGGTGGGAAAAAATTACAAATGCATGATGAGCAAAACAAACATGAAATGATCAAAGTAAAGAGGACAAAAATATGTTTTAGGATGGGGAAGAACTATTCAGAGAGTGTTAGGGCTCCTGAATTAGAGAGAAGCTGAGGAAGTAGTTCTGAATTTTATCCCCATGGCTTTCCCATCTGCTTGCTTACAACTCCTGCCTCTCCATCCCAGTCCAGCCCAGCCAGAAGATGATCCATCATGCAACCTGCCTAAAGTGGGCTTTTAGCTGCTCTGGGTGCTCCCACACAGGGGAGACACAACCACACAATTCAAGGGAGGTTACAAATCCCCAGTGCCACTGTCTAGCAGGTTACCACAGTTTGGGTTTTTTGCTTCACAGCTCTTGAAGGGAGCCCTGGGAGCAAAGGATGAGAGGGAAAGAAGGAAAGGGGGGAGAGAGTCTGCAGTGGGAGGAGGGGAAGAATGGAGTCATGCTCACAGCTTTTCACAGCTGAAAACAGACCCCACTGCTGGTAATGTGAGAGGGCTGAAGCAGGCGCCAAATGGATAAGGCTGTAGACAGTGGGACCAGAGCGCTGATACTTGCCAGTACCTGCAGATAGGAGACAAATAATTGGCACATGTTAAGAAAAAAAAAAAAAAAAAAGAAAAAGGAAAAAAAAAAAGAGAAAAGAAAAAAAAAGCGGGGAAAAAAAAAAAGACCAGCAGAGAAAGACAGAGTTGTTAGACATCCGTATTTTCTAAATGTGTCTGGCAGGAGCCCCAGCAAGGAATTTAATCAGCAAGAGTTGTTTAAACTGGGCTTTGAAAACAAGCCCTGTGCTGCTAGTAATGAACTTCATATCATCTGCAACTCCTGTTTGCTGACGACATTCAATTTGTTAATTCTGCAGCTGGTGATAGGGGTCAGATATGAAAGTGACGATTGTTTTTTGACGTCCCAACCCCTGCTCACATCTTTCTAATTAATCCTTTTAGGAGCCACCAGCAGATCAAGAGAAGTGTGGGGAGGGAGGGAGTGTGGGGAGGAGGAGAGACTTTTTTTTGTGCCTGACCAGTGGCTCCTTGCCTCCCTCTGTGGCGGAAAGGAGACACAAGGGTATACCTGCTACTTGGTCTTATGGGTATGAGCTTTTACGGATGTCTTAGAAAACCTTAATGTTGGAAAAGTAGGTGGCAAAAAAATAAAAATAATAAAAGAAGGCTCGCACAATCACAAAATAGGTAAGGTTGGAAGAGATGACAGTGTGTTACCCGGTCCAACCTCCCTACTCAAGCTGGGCCATTCTAGAGCACATTGCACAGGATTGTGTCTAGATGGTTGTTGAATATCTCCAGTGGAGAACACTCCACAACCTCTCTGGGCAACCTGTGATAATGCATGCTCACTGCTCAGTAAAGAAGTTCTTCCTCATGGTCAGGTGGAGCTTCCTTTACATCCATTTCTGTTCCCTGCCTCTTGTCCTAGTGCTTGGCACCACTGAGAAAAGCCTGGAAACATCCTCTTGGTACCCTTCTTTCAGATATTGATAGATATTGATGAGGGTCCATCTCAGTCATTTCTTCTCGAGGTTGAACAAGCCATACCCCCTCAGCTTTTCCTCATAAGAGAGATGCTCCAGTCACCCAATCATCCTTGTTGCCCTCCCACGGGCCTGCCCATGAGCTCCAAGTCTCTCCTGTACTGAGGAGCCCAGAACTGGACACATCACTCCAGGACTGAGTAGAGGGTCAGGGTCACTTACCTCAATCTGCTGGCAATGCTCTTTGTAATGTACCCCAGAATACCACTGTGCTTCTTGGCCACAAGGGACCTGCCTGCTCAGGGATACCCTGTTACCCACTGGGACCACCAGGACACTGGGACCACCAGCTTTTCTCCACAGACCTGCTCTCCAGAAGATAAGGCCCCAGCCTAATGGGGTAACTTTTCCCCAGGTGCAGGACCCTGCATTTACATTTTTTGCATTTCAGACTGTCTTCTCTGCCTATCTCTCCAACCTGTTGAGGTCCTTCTCCCTAAAATAGCCCACTTTAAAATCTGGCAAGCAATTCATATTAACTATCTCCATTGAGAATGAGAAGGGTGTTGGAATTAGTAGAGGTAGGAGACCATTCTCCCACTATATTATCTTGCTGATATGAGGCTGGTGAGATACCCCTGGTTTAAAGAGCTGAATGTGTACAAGCCACACAGAAATCAGGCAACTCTGTGCAGGCAGGTAAGAATGTCATCAGAGAAGAAGTCATGGCCTCAGGAGGACCCCAAGTGCATGCACACATGCGGGTACTGCAAGGGAGTCGGGACCCACCAACAAGCACATAGGCTCACAATGCACAGATGGCTTTAATGGAAACAGCAAAAGGGCAGGAGATGTTGCTGGCCTGCACAGCATGAGAACAGGAGTGCTTTGCAGATGCCAAAGTCCCCCTTCACTGAGTTTTTAACCTGGGAGCCTGAATGTCTTACCTAGAAAGTTACTTAGGATGTTGAATCTGCTGCAGCGACCACATGTGCCTTGGAGAGGGTCACCTGGCACATCAACCTAGATGTGGTGCAGTGAAGTCTGTGTTCATTTGCAGAGGCTGTATGAGGAGAACTTGCAAGGCAGAAGAGCCAGCAATCTCGAAGGCAGAAATTTTATAAAACATGAAAAATGTTAGAGTAGAAAACTGACTGGGTGACAAAATTTTAAGAAAAGAAGACCTGAGTTAACACATAGATATTGCTGGCACTGGGAAAGGTAGAAGAAAATAAACTTGCTCTTGTTAGCACTAGGCTGAAAAAGAATTTTTTAATGGAAGACTTTGTTTTTTCTTTCCCAGTCCACCTCAACACTGAGTTTTGGACTCACAGGAAATACACCAACATCATCAGCCTCCCTAGAGCTGGAGAGTCCTGGCAGAGGTTGCACCTGTTCTGGGTCAGAGCTGAAGAAATAGTTCCAAACACCTGTCCTCTCACAATGATTCCCCAGAAGAATGCTGGGATGCTGGCACAGCTGGGTAAATGCATCTACCCATTTGCTCTGTTCCAATAGGATCTAGCACTGAACCTTTGGCTGATATGCAGGGGTAATGGCTCCTCTCAAGAAAATGGGGCTCTACCAGCTCATTCCATCTGTGTATCCATTGGACCCTGCTTTTTCTGTGGACAAAAAGTGCAACCTGCTTATATGCTGTCAGTGCTCTCGTTTTCCTGCAGAAGTTTTCACTTGACTCCCTTTATTAACCAACTACTGCTCTCAGCCATTCTCATAATGGTTTACCCATCCAGTACAAACTTGCAGTATCCAATATTGTGATGAGAAATCAACCACCTCCATAAATGTTTACCTTTTTTTAGCAGACTTTATCAGTATGTATTAATTTGCACACAGAAAGGAGGTCTATTGCTCCTTCACTCCAGACTTTAAATGTCAGTAAAACACAGTTCTGCTCTTGGCATGCTGGGAACAAGACTAGCTTAAATTAAGTTGGACTAGTTTTAAATCAGTAGGCTCATGAGCATGCTTTGCCCTTATGGTGTCTCTTTAGTTTGTTCCAAACATTATGCAGGAAATCTAGGAAAATACCGGGGGTGGGGCGAGCTGTATGTTGTGATTAAATTGATGCAAAAATATTGTTAGAGGTGGAGGTATCTTCCTACTTGAGAATCACTGCTTTCCACAAGCAGGTAACTCACTATGAAAGCCTGCATGTAAAAGAAAAAGAGTATCAGAGGGCTGCCTGAGGTTCCTGGGAGATACCAGCCCCAGAGGACAAAGAGCTCTGCTGCATCTGCTGATAACAGAGGACAAACAACTGGAAGGATGAAGCTGCATTGGGACATCAGCAATGAAACAGATTTTCTCCATGAGATAAACTGAAGACAAGAAAACAGAATTATAAATGCAGTGAAAAATGAGTAGAAGAGTCTGAATTTCTCCGGCTATTTAAAACATGCAGTTATTTTTTAATAGACTTTCACTTGTTGCATCTATGAACATGCAAGAGTGGATCTTTCACTCCTGCAAAATTTATAGGCTTACTTTAGCTGCTTATAAAAGACTCATTGGCCCTGAACATCTCTGCAAGTGGCTCATGGTACCCACTCTGCTTAGCCAGAAGCACAAAGCACTTAGCAAAAAACATTATCCTTCCCACTGTTTATGTTCAGCTCAAGCACATCTTAGGCCTTTTATTGTCTGTATGGTTAAGTCCTACAGGTACCCTGTCACATAAAAGACATACTGTTTATTATTCCAGTGTTAACAAAGTACTTGAGGGAAACAGTAATCTATTTTCAGTGGGGGGAAAAACCCAACCAAAGCAAATACGGCAAGAATTGCCAGCTCCAATAGCAACAAGAGAATCTTTTACATCTCAACCCACTGCAGAGGCATCCCCACACAAGCCTTGTGCAGGCAGTTGTACCTCTCTAGCCGCATCTTAAACCACAGCTTTCAATTAAATATGGTACCTTGCTCACTCTGCTATTCTTGCATGACTCTTCTCTGAAATCCAAAAAATATTTTCTTTTATGAATTAATTATGTGTATGGCTATGAATTCTGTTTTAGGGTGATAGTTCTGATTTTCTCAGCTCAGAAAAGGACTTTACATCAACCCAGAAAACCTTACACCATAAAGAATCAATTCCATGCATTATTATTATATATTATAATAATATATATTATATATATATTATATATATATTATAATATATTATAATATATTATTTATATTTCATAATATATATGGAATAATATTATTATTCCATACAATTCTACCCTGTGTTCTTAAATACTTTAGATCTTTTTACCAGGTATGTATCTTGCCACAATATGAGGTTTTACTAAATGTGAAAATACATATTTTAAAAAAACACACCCTGTCTCTGAGAAACACACACAAATAAAAAGCAAAGCATGTCTAGATTGAAAACAGCTAAAAGGAATAAAGTCAACAAGGACAGTGTTTAAGTAATCAACATTCCCAGATAGGTGATGTCAAAATGGTAATTATCTTTCCAGAGCCGCCTGAAAATCTAAAGCAGGAGGAAAATACCCAAAGAACTGTATTTCACTGCTCTCACCCTGTGAGGGTACCCAGTACATCTGGAATAATATGCTCACAAAATGGTGTTCATCTTCGACAGCCCTCCAGAGCTCTATGGAAAGGGTGTAGGTGGTCCAAAGGGACACAATTACAAGCAAAGGCATAAAATTTAACACAGTAACATTTGCAGTGTTTATCAGAACAAATTCCCCAGCAATGAGACATAGCTGACATAAGGAAGTGTCCTTAAGGAATCAGCGGGCGCTCCATTAAAGGTTTTGCTAGATAAAGCAGGCCATGCTTCAACTTGGAAGGAAAAGTTTTCAAATGCTCTGATTTCTGCAACAGAGTGAAATGACAGAGACTCTGCTGGGCAGCAAAGTTTCAAAAATGCCTTTAGGTCTCTGGCTTGTTTAGGCTACCTCTTGGAGAGAAATGCAAAAGAATTAGACTGTATGAAAGCAGCATTATTCAGCAGGTGTTATCTTAGGCACTTTGGAAAAATGTTACCCCCTTGTATTTAGAGCTTAGGTCTTGTGATTAATTATTTATATCTGCCCTGTCATGGAGGCTGTTTGAGGATGTTGCTGCAGTAC